TTGGGTTTAGATACTTGGCCGATCAGATTAATAAATCTGCCTTTACCTCAGCCAGTGCATGAGCTTCAGAGGCCGAATAGGACTAGTTCGCAAAATGATCCGATCGGCATCGGGCTAGATGCTTGGTCGATCAGCTTAATAAATCTGCCTTTGCCCCAGCCAGTGCACGAGCTTTAGAAGCTGAATAAGACTAGTTCATGGAATGGCTGTGGCGTAAATCGATCGGCATTGGGTTTAGATTCTTGGTCGATCAGATTAATAAATCTGCCCTTACCTCAGCCAGTGCATGAGCTTCAAAGGCCGAATAGAATTAGTTCACAGAATGACCTTATCGGCATCGGGCCTAGAAGCTTGGCCGATCAGCATAATAAATCTGCTTTTGCCCCAGCCAGTGCATGAGCTTCAGAGGCTGAATAAGACTAGTTCGCAGAATGATCAGATCGGCATCGGGCTTAGATGCTTGGCCGATCAGCTTAATAAATCTGCCCATGCCTCAGCCAGTGCATGAGCTTCAGAGGCCGAATAGATTAGTTCATGGAATGGCTGCGGCATAAATCGATCGGCATTGGGTTTAGATACTTGGCCGATCAGATTAATAAATCTGCCCTTGCCCGTTGAAGCTTGAATTTGGTATGAAGATTAAGAACATATATTTAGATATACCCATATATAATCAAATGAATCTAAAACTCACGGTGATTGAGGATGCGAAGATTATTGAAGAGATCGATGAATCGAAGAGACAAAGATCTCCGAGAGCGAGAACCGAAGGGCGAAGAATAAAATAGTCGAGTCTTGGGGCCAAAGAAAAGAGTTTTGTGGGCGATTGTATATCTTTTACAATAATTACTAACTGACCACACTAGAAAGAAGTATTTTCAAATAGTGCAATTTATTGCAATCCTCTTCCACATTGGGTCTAAATATATGTTCTTAATCTAAATATGTGTTCTTAATCTTAATATCAACAACGGGTAATGGCAGATTTATTAATCTGATCGGCCAAGTATCTAAACCCAATGTCGATCGATTTATGCCGCAGTCATTCCATGAATTAGTCCTATTCGGCTTCTAAAGCTCGTGCACTGGCTGAGGCAAGGGCAGATTTATTAAGCTGATCGGCCAAGCATCTAGGCCCGATGCCGATCGGATCATTCTGCGAACTAGTCCTATTCGGCATCTGAAGCTCATGCACTGGCTGGGGTAAAGGCAGATTTATTAAGCTGATCGGCCAAGCTTCTAGGCTCGATGCCGATCGGATCATTTTGCGAACTAGTCCTATTCGGCCTCTAAAGCTCATGCACTGGAACTGAACTGCGAATTGAGCTCATGCACATCCATTTGTTAAATTGACAGATGCGGATTGAGTTTTTCTAATCCACCTATCCAGCAAACAAATGACAGATTAGAGGTTTTCTAACTGTAACTGAACTGCGAACACTCTAGGTAATAATGCCAAAGCATGTAAAATTTAGGATCTTATCGTAAGAGGATTGCAATAAATTACACTATTTGAAAATACTTCTTTCTAGTGTGGTCAGTTAGTAATTATTGCAAACGATATACAATCGCCCACAAAACCCTTTTCTTTGGCCCCAAGACTCGGCTATTTTATTCTTCGCCCTTCGGTTCTCGCTCTCGCAGATCTTCGTCTTTTCGATTCATCGATCTTTTCGACAATCTTCGCATCCTCAATCACCGTGAGTTTCAGATTCATTTGATTATATACATGTATATCTACATATATGTTCTTAATCTTCATACCAAATTCAAGCTTCAAACAGCCCTAAGTCAGTGTTTTTTTTTTTTTTACTGCAAATTTCTCTATAAACTTGTTTTATTTTGTTTTAAGAACTTCATTTTCCCTAATGATGGTGTATTAACAGTGCAATTACGCGATTTATGATGCAAATTAGGTTAATCTGATCAATAAATTTGTTTATGTATTCCGTATGAGTAGGCTGGTGTAATGCATATTCGAAAATGTCTAAGGTAGCTATAGATGTTCCGATGAAGGGTGGGTTTAGCTTCGACCTTTGTAGAAGGAATGAAATGCTCATAAAGAAAGGCCTTCAATCTCCGTCTTTTCTCAAGACCGGCACTACTATCGTCGGACTTATTTTCCAGGTTTGATTTGATTCGAATTTCATTGTGGCGAGGTGTATAATCTGATAGATTTTAGTTGTCATAGCAGATTATTGGGAAATTGTGAAACTTGTTCCCATAACCTTTGAGTTGATTTTATAGTAATTAAATAATGTTTTGTTAATCGAAATCATCATTAGTTCTGTGAGGTGAACTGAATCTATTATATGCGGGATTCATGCCTTATAAGTGGGAATCATGGGCATCTACACCACAGTTCATGTGATCCAGAATTTTTTATTTATTTATAGAACTATATCATTCATGTGAAGCAGATATTTATTTACTTAGTATTGAAATTTTAGAACAATTTTATTGGACCATTACCAACTTTTAAAATCATTAGATTTGGCATGATAGTGATGTAATTAAATGCATATCAGCAAATCGTGGAGTTGGTGGAAGTTGGAGAACAAAGTATACACTTTCAAAAAAAAAAATTTAAAATATCATTAACTAGCCGTTGGTAGCTCGGCTATATATACCTTAACTTTTATAAAATTTCATGCACATTTTGAGTGTGAATCCAACCTTAGATAGAGGTTGTAGCCTTCATTCCTTACACAAGTGCTTCCAAGAGTTTACTCCATGGGAATCTTCCAAGTTCTTAACTTGTGAAAGGCATAAACATCATCCCATTAGTGTAGTTTATACACTATTGTTGACACACTACAAATCTCTCACCTACAAGACTTTGTTTGGGCTTAAGGGTATTGGTTTTCCTCTTTGAAATCCATGTTCTAGCTTTTGTAAATCTAGTAAATGTTCGGTTTTTGATTTGGAGGTTGCAGTTTTTGGTGGGCATAAACCCGCTATATTATTGTGGAAGAGGTTTGGAGTGTAACCTGGTGAAAATCTTTGAAGCAGTATTTATAAAGGTTTTAGGTTGCCCTAGTCAAAACCTGTTTGAATAGTGGATTAATGCCGACATGGAGGCTAGAAGTGGATGTAGGCAAATTGTCGGACCTGTCACGAGCCAAACCCGCCCTTAAAAGTTTGGATCATGACCGACTAGTAACTTCTTGATTACTTACGGCCTTAGACAGATTACAGAGAATTTATAATAACGGGGCCTAAGCGGAAGTAAATAAAATAACAGAACGTCCATTAAGTATTGCTTATATGCTAGGATTTTAAACATCATGTCATATACAGAAAGTTCACATACACAGTTCATACATACAAATACGAGTCATGCAGGTATATACAAGGAGTTAGCAATCCAAAAATTACATGTTAACAAGGTGTCCAAACAAAAGTTACCAAAGACTTGATAAAATTTGCCATCACAGAAAATCCCAAAAGACAAAAGGTTTGGGAGGTTTATCAAAGCAGGTCCACCAAAAAGACTCCTGAAGCTGACCTAGGGTTGACCTCCGAGTTGAACACCTACATAAATATATATAAATACAGAGTGGGCGAAGCTCAATGAATAATAGTAAAGTAAATTTAATGAAGGCATGTGATGTAAACCCAATATTTGTCCAAAGTGCAACATTCAGAGTATCCACCATAGTCACGTTAAGCATAACGTTATTCATAATCACATTTTCAGAACAGCCTCAGGCCCATTTATTGCGGAACGGCCTCGGACCCACATGTAACAGAACGACCTTAGGCCCAATCACATGATATCAGTTGTTCAGAATGACTTCAAGTCCAAACATATCTTATCATAAAGAAGATGGAACATCAACATGTCTCCATCTCTCACATAGAACAGAACGGCCTTAGGCCTAATATAATACGGAACGGCCTCAGGCCCAGCATAGTAACAGCTGTTCTAAACGACCTTGAGTCCAAACATATCTTATCAAAGAGAAGATGGAATATCGACATGTCTCCATTTCCCACGGCCTTAGGCTCATAATTTATAAGCAATCCATATCAAACATAACGGCTCAGACCCATCACTTATAACACGAACAGAATGACTTTAGGTCCACATTTTATTTGTTCGTTAACATTCGTCAAACATCCTTTACCATTTGTAATAAGGCATTCTATAACGTTCGTAGCGCATTTATATCATAATCCAATGTCATATATATATATATATATATATATCATTCAATCGTTCCAAAATAGCAATTAGCCACATCGTTCATATCAAAATAAAATAGAAAATTAAATAAGAACAGATCTTTACAATACAATTACTCACTATGATTCGGTCGTGCAACGGTCTCTTCTGGCGAGTGACCTACATATTACACACACACAACTTGATAAGTGATTCATTCTTTTCTTAGCTTCTTCTCTTTACTCATTTTTTCGTTTCGTTCAATTTCTATTCATCTTTAAGCATTTCGAGGGGGCTTACATACACACATTAACAGATTCAGAGGGTCGAAAAGATAAACAAAATACATCAATTTCCCTTCCTGTTTCCTGCACGTGCGGAAAGATGTGCCGCACGTGCGGCCCGCATGTGCTTTTATTTCAGAATGTTCAACTTGCTTGCCCTATTTTCCGCACATGTGGTTGTGAGCGCCGCACGTGCGGCTGTGAGTCCTGCACGTGCAGTTGTGTATCCCGCACATGCAGCTGTGAGCCCCGTACGTGCGATTCTGGGCTCTGTTTGTGCAGTCTGAAAATCCAACTAATTCAAGCCTTCCAAAGGCATTTCTAAGGCCCAATTCAAGCACTTTCACTTCAAACACATGACATATAAACATAATAAGCATGAAACTCAAGCTCAAAGAGATCATAACTTACTTTAATTTGATATATAGAACCCTAATTTCCATATTTCCTTAATTTCCTTCATCGTTTCATGTTATACTTGTATATGCTTACATATATGCTTGCATGAGTTCAAAGCATGCAAAGACTCGAGATTAAATCACAATTTCTCACAATCCAACCGAAATCAAACTAAAAATAAAGGAATTAACTCTTTAATCACACAACCCAAAGATTGCATGTTCATTTTTATGAGATGTGTTCAATCAAGATCATAATCCATAAACTCTAACTTTTATGAGTGTCAAAACTTCATTTTAAGTCTTGATTTTAGCCAATTGAAGCAAGATTTAGAGTATTCTAGTTGATTTACACTTGCCTTGAGCTATAATCTTGATTTTCCCCTTTCAATTCCTCAACCCCAAGCTGTAGGTTGAGTTCTCCTCTGCTCTCTCTCTCTTTTCTCTTCTTCCTTCCTCTAGAAGCTCTCTCTCCAGGAGATATTTTGAGTTGTGTTGAGCCTAAGTCTCATAAGGCTCTTATACATATTTGTAGACCACAAATTTTGAGTCTAAGTCTCATAAGGCTCGGATAGGGCACCCTACTCAGTTTCATCACATTTGTAGACCACAAATTTCTCCAAGAGGCACTTACATTTATCACAAATTATTGTGTCTTTCAATCCTTCAACAAACTGTATAATATTAGAGTGACTGCAAGGCTCAACAAGAAGAGGTGGTTCGATTGCAGTTGTAATCGCACCCACTAACCCTAACATGGCCACATTTTCTCCCCACATTGGAAAAAGATCCAAGCATTCCATAATTTTTCTCCCTTGAAGCTTCAAAGTCTCTGTCGAAGACCCTTTTCCCAGTAGTACCCAACCTTTTTCACTCTCATCATTGGTGTCTAGTAACTCCGACAACTATTTTAGAATCTCATCTTTATGATCATCTGTATGTCCTAATCGGAGTTTTGATCTTCCCATGCTCTCCAACCGAAGCCAAAAGAAATAAATCTTCGTGCAAGTTAAAGAACTTGTCAGCTTTTCCTCATACATGGTAGCTAAAATGTTTTTCATGTGATCATCACTTGAATTTTTCTTGCCAACATAGACCATCTTAAGTTGCAGTCCTGCACTTGTCATGTTCCTCATCTTAGCATTGAATTCTCTAATCCAATCTATGTTGTTGCTTCCATAAATGCAAAGGTTTTGGTCCTCTTCTACCTAAAATTAATGTGTGATTGGTACAAAATTACAAAAAAAATCTTGAATAAATCAAATCTTTGTTCGAAGTGTTGATTTTACTTTTATTTCATAATCTGCTGCTATTTTTTCTATTTCATTACTAAACTATAGATTTCGTCTATTACAATTTCTTATATCAATTCATATAATCCAATTGGAGACGGTCCGTCTAAATTAATAATGGAAAGAAACCTAACTTAATGAGCAAAAAGTAATTTTACAATTTGGATAACTTAAATTAGACAACCAAACACACATCTTCTTACTCACATTTTATTTGACTACTTACATCCTACAACCAAACACTCACCTTCTTTTCCACCTCTCATTTCAAAATAGTGAGTAAGAAAAGTGAGTATATGGTTAAATGGTTTGAGTTAGTCAAATTTTGAAATGACTTTTTTGCCTATCAAATTAGGCTTTAACGGTTACTAATTTAGACAACTGTCACCAATTGGACCACATCACCTAATATTAGAAACTCTAGGGAATAAATAGATTAAATTGATAGTTTAAGGATGAAATAGAAAAGAAAGCCATAGTATAGTAGAAAAAAGTGAAATTAACCCTTGTTTGAATTAAGGATGCCTCAATATAAAAGTTGAATCGAAAGCATACCCACTTTGCTACCAGAGGATCAATTCCGTCAAGTAATAGTTGGAGATTCCAAGTTTCTTCTTCCCATAGCTCATTTTCTCTTGAAGTAGAAAAGGGAAAGGCCATGGCACCCCCGATCAAGGCCATGTCAAATTGCATTTAAGTTTGTAACCATACCTTGTGTATCCAATACTACCATTAAGGGCTTCTCTTTGAAATCCCATGCTTGTTTAATGGATTTCACCACTAGTGAGCTGAGTAACCATGGTCACCGAATTGAAAACCATGGTAATGAGTTTGATAAAAAACCAAAATTCTATTCTTCTACATCAGTCCACGTATCCGATGATGGAATGGGAACCCATACAATTTCATAGCTTTCTTGTAAATTCACCCAGTGAGGATGATCAAACATCTGTTTCACCAACAAGAGTAACACTTCTATAGGGAGGAGCTCTGGCCTTGAGACCAAGAGTATCACTACCTTGCTTTTCAGTTCAGACAACGCAAGCTGTCAAATAAATCCAAAGCTCATTGTTATTTAGTGAAGTAAATGGCTAATGAAGGATTAGAATGTTTCTGTTTTCGACATCCCAAATATATAGTTCTATTGTATACAACAAAAATTGCAAATGAGCCTCTGGGGCCACAACCACCATGTCAACTTTGATCCCGACCACTCACGATTGGTTATATAGGAAAAAGTGCGACTTGACGTGCCAGGAGTGACAATGCATTAAAGCAAAAATGGTTTTAGCTAAAGCAGGACAATCAACTGTGAACGATACTAGAAATTTCTAGAGAAAACCTACCTTTGCTTTGGAGGAAGAATCCTTCAGAGGCAAGCTATCCTTCAAAGCAAACAACATCTCAAGCACCTCTTGGTTATCAATGTGGCTCTCCTTAGAGAGATCCAAGAGCTTGTTATGCATCTTTGTCTCTATAAGACACATAAGGGTGAAAATATGAAATTCAAAGTTGATAGTGTTAGGAATCGAAGAACACCTAATCAAGATCGGTGAGATACAAAAACAAAGAAGAACAAATAAACAAGGATTGTAAATCACATGCACACACAAGATTTTTGTGGTTCACCCCAAAATTAGGCTATAGATCACAAGTGAGTAAATACCCATATTTCAAAATTCGGGGTTAGTGTCCAATACTTATCATGTTCCAGATTTTCCAACAAGTAGTTCATTTCAACATTGAAAGGCTTCCATAGGTTTTGAAGAACATTTACCTATCAGCTTATAACAAGCATCCACCTACCGCCTGAGGTGACTGCTTATGGTGCTCAACCTACCCACCAAGCTTGAGAGGTCCCATGAAGCAATGGTTACTGAATTTGAATTCCTGTAAAAAAAACAAAACAAAAAAAAAAAAAAAAAAAAAAAAAACATATTACTTCATTATAGCATACAAAATACCAGTCACAAAAATTAATATTCTTCATTGGAAATAAATTGAATTCATCACATTCATAATTATCTTGTGATCCCTTGAATATTCAATAGAAACGATAAAAGTAAACAACAGAATTCAACATGTGGTGACTAGATTGAAGAGAAAGAACATGCACTTGCACATTTTCCATGGCTCTCAAGTCTTTGATTTGGGAAGAGCATATCAAGGCACTTCTAATGATCCAGTAAGTAGCCATGTAGATCTGAGAGTTTGTAGTGCCAATTGCCTCACAATCCAGGATCACATGATTCACCGGCAATTCTTCGAACTCAATGATGCACTTTGTCAAATCTACAATCATTTTCATCAACACATTCAAGACCTTAAAAAGATGCTTCAACAAGCACAAGTCCTTGGGCAACTGCTTTAGCAATGCAATAGATGCTGCCAAGGGATTGCAAGGGTAAAGCTGTATTATGAGCCAAAATTCACCATAGTTTGTTGCAAAAGCTGATAGCACTAAAACTGCTTTTGCATCCCATTTGTAATGCCTTAGCTTGTCAAACAAGACCATTGCCTTTGCGTGTGGATTCCCACCCATGGAGTAGTTGAAGAGTATCTGCAGTCAAAATTGGTATTATGCATCCATGATTCTATACGACACAGAATCCTCTGTTTCAAATTTTCCTTTTCTCCTATTCCAAAATACTCATAACTATTGGATCATGTTTCAGGATTTCCGTATCTTGAGATTCTCATATGATACAATATTTGTGGGTGTTTTCAGACAAGGAAACAGAGATTTGGAGGTAGAAAATCCTTAGCCAATTTTATATATACATACAACAAAAATACCGATCTTGATCCTCTTCATTGCATCATCAATGATTGTGAAAGAGTCACATCAAGATACCTTTATTTCATTCAAAAAACAGTTCAGGAGAATCAAAAATTCAAAATAACATTACAATTACATACTGTTGATTTGACTTTTAATGACATGTTGCAACCTTATGCATTGTAATGGAGATCTCCATTATAATCATGTAATGGAACGATCTAAATCCCAACAACACTATGTACCCTGCAAATACTCCAAAAATATGTCCAGAATTTTAAATGTGTATCAGATTTATTGTGTGTGAGCCATAGATTCAAATTTTGGGCACTTTTCTGAATATTTTTTCTGGGTACATAGAATTCCAATACATATACATAAGAGAGGGAGAGAGGGAAGAAATTACCCCGTGTGAGACTTTATAGATGGTGTGTCCCAATGTTTCTTCTGATCCAACCACCTCAACGTTGCATATGCCACTCTTTGCAATGGCACCATCATGTGCATCGGAAACTTGAAGCAAGGTCTTTGGTGCTAAGTAAACATTCAAAGTGGACTTTAAGCTATCCATTCAATTGTGCTTAGTAGTGTGTAGAATATTTGAATGCTGAGTTTTGTGACGTTAGTTAGTAACAGTGGGCATGCAATGTAAGCCTTGATGGTTAACAACTTTGATTAATCGTGACCTACCAATTCAGACTGATTAAACAGGCAAACCATTACAAATTCAGAAACTGTCAATCCTCCTTTCTTTAAGTCAAATGAAAAACCATAGACTTATTCTCGTTTTCTTTGTTAACGTCAGTAGTTCTTCAATCTACTCTCGTGTCTCTGAAGTTCATGATCCGTATCACGGTGCAATATACTTTATTAAGGCACTGAACCCTTGAATGGAACAGTAACTCTTGGACCCTCACATATGTCTTGCCGTTGGCATTTCTGGTGATGCAGTTCAATACGCTGAAACAACCTCACTAGAAATGGAGGAAAGGCAATGTATGCCCACTCCAAAGCCCATGTTAGCGAGACCCTCGTGTACTGAGTCACCTGGACCCTTTTTAGTTTTCCAGATCATCAACAGAGATTACTGAAAACTAAATTTTATAATGTCTAATTAACCACTACTATATGATTTATGTTAGTGTGCAAGACCATTGACATATAAATCATCAAATACCATACACACCGGTAAGGCTGTATACATATTGCCCTCTCCAGATCCAATTTTAGCAGGAGCCTCATGCATTGAGTGAATTGGGATCCTCCCCTTGCACTCCCTCCTTGCAGGGCCTTTGAGCCCACTTTTAGGCCCAATTTTGATAATCCAAATCGTTCATATTTTAAGATTTATTCAGTATATCATACCTGTAAAAAATCAAGTTGATCGGATATCAGAAAGCATGTGTTCGGAAAACTGTTTATTAAATTCTTTAAAAAAATAGTTTTTAGTTTGATTTTTCCGAGCACATGCTTTCTAATATTCGATCAACTTGATTTTTTACAGGTATGACATACTGAATAAATCTTAAAATATGAACGTTTCGGATTATCAAAATTGGGCATAAAAGTGGGCCCGAAAGCCCTGCAACGAGGGAGTGCAATGGGAGGATCTTGACTCGCATTGAGCAGCCCAGTTTACTTTAGTCTTTCACATCATCAACAGAGCCTACTGAAAAATTTTCTTGTTCCTAATTAAGCACCACAAAATGATTTATCAAGATCATTGACATATAAATCATTAAAGACAATATATATATATATATAGATGAATTTAAAAAAATTACAAGGCCATGGCAGAGGAAGAGGGTTGAATTAATACTTCAGATTTAGCATAAGACATGATGTTCTCCATTGCACGAAGCAAAAGCTCAGAATCAAGGTGACGACCATCAGGGTCGTGGGTGAGCAGAATCTGCTTTATTAAATCTTCATCTGGAGAAGTTGAGGAATGCAACGGCTGGTTTTCACTCGCTAGGAAGTTCATGGCCAAAGAAAGTATAAGCATATAGACTTGGTTGAGAAGTTAATGGCCTTCTGAACATCTCCTTTTGCTTTATAGCTCACAAACCACAACACGTTCGCATACTTTGCTTAGACAAATCATATTCTCATATTCTCTCCGTCAAACAGTAGCTGTGCCAACCTCTAACAGTCAACAGCTGAAGATGTTGGTATGCCGAGACTTTCAAAAGTAGAGTTGAATGATTGAATCATATTTCAGGCCGGAAAATGCTGTGCAAATTAATAAAATTTTAAAAAAATTCCTACTCGCAAATAAACTTTAGAATTTGAAATGGAAATCATTAAAATAATATGACATGTAGTAAAAATTTATAAAAGTTGATCGTTTGTATAAAGCATTATTGTTCACAATAGTACCACAATAATTCTAGTGAAAAACTAAGAAGGTACTTGAGATTTTATGCTTTGTCTTTCACATTTTACTAGACAACACATGAGGAATAAAGGCCAAATAATCATTTCAAGTGGATCCTGTACTATTTATTGGGCAGCAATGTTACCCAAAAAAATGTCTAAATTTGAAATGTTGATCATATTAAAAATGTGACCTATATCACATCAAATTTAAATCTACATCACACATTTAAATTTTGAGTATTTTTTTAAATAATTTTTTTAAGTATATAGTATTTCTATTTCTTGACTTATAAAAGCACGCTGTAATCAGAAGAGCAATACCACAATCTCATTTCCATTAACCCAAATTTCTGAGGAAAAAAAGGGGTAAAGATTGTTGTCCAATCTTCTTGGCATGTAATTCGAGAGGTCGACAAAAGCAAAGGTAAGAGGCGAAAAGGAGAAAAAAGTCTCTTAGAAGTTTCACTATCATTTGCTCCAATGGACAATATTATGCACCTAGAAAAAGTATTTCAAAAATAAAATGTGTTAAATAAATTTATTTTATATCTCGGTTACTTTTCAAGATTTTATTTTTTTTTAAATAAGGTCTCGTTTGGCAACAGGCCGGTTTAGTCAAAAAGTTGCTAAAAAGTCAAAAAGCCAACAACTTATACCAAAAAGTCAAAGATTCTCTTTTCTATCTACTTTTTGCACATCTTTTCATAAAAAGTCAAAAAATTATCCCAAACATACTAATTTTTTTTAGCTCATATTTTAGTCAAATAGCTAAATTAACCTGTTCTCAAACGAGGCTTAAATAACTTTTTCGATGCCAACTAGTAGTAAAGAATCACGTACTTAAAAGCCGCAAAGAGCTAATACAGTTCGCGATTAAAAGCATATCAAGTTGCTTTAAAATCTTGACCTTGAAGTCCATCGTGACCTTGAAGACAAACTTAAATGGTTATAAGAGCAAATGAGATTCTGGGGGACCTTATATTATATTCCATTTTCTTTTATATTGATTACTTTTTCCATTGCCACCATGCCAAAAGCAAAGCAACATTTCAATTCTCCATAAAATTTTTAAAAAATAAATAAATATTTAAATTCAAGACCAATCCCCTCACAGCTTAAGAAATTGGGTGATCACAGATATGAATATCTGAAACTCTACCTTTTTTCAATGTCCTAGTCTTTATACACTAGGCTCTGTTTATTTTTAGAGGTAAAATGGGAAAATTTATAATGTGAGGATTAATAGTGAGAGGATTGTTAGTGAGGGGATTAAGTAAAATTGTGTTTATTTTAATAAGAGTTGTTGGTGTAAGAATTGTTAAATTATTTTTCTATAAAATAATAAAACAAATAAAAAAAATATAAAATCATTAAACATTAATGTTAAAAAAAAATGCCCAACATGTAAAAAATAAAATAAAAAATAAAAAATTTCTAGAAAAAAAAAGTAAAACAAATAAAACAATGATTTTTACTTAACAAAAAATATAAAAAATTAAACATTAATGTTCAAAAAAAAATGCCTAACATGTACAAAATAAATAAAAAAATAATTCAGTGGACTATTTTTCTAATACCACATTCACCTCTTCTATCACAATCTCCCTTCCAAGGCCTATCCTAATTCCAATGGAAAAGAAGTCCCCTCTCTATTTCTCAAAACAAACGTAATATATAGTGGGTCTCACCTCGCTATCAATCACAATTTTCTCTCTATAACCCCAAACAAACAGGGCCTAGTTGTGTTCTTGAACAAAAGCAATAGTGATAGTATGGGTAGAGCTGATGTAACCAGTTAGCCCTATCTCTTTCTTTTTTGCACGACTTTATTGATTAGAAACATCACATACACATACTTCGAGACTACAAAATAATTTTGGAGAATCTAAATTTTCTATCGTGGAAGTTGTATTTGTATGCTGATGAAGAAAAAAATAATAATTTGTTTGGAGTGTCCTAAGTAAGTGCACTTTTTGTCTTTTTAGACAAAAAAGTTGAGGAAAAAAAGATGGATGTTTGGGTTAACTTTTAGACTTTTTATGAAAAAATGTGTATTAAAAAATTATATAAATAAGTGTATAGGAGAAGTTATTGAGTAGCCCGTGCAGTACCTAGCAATGTAGTCAGTGATTAGGAGTTGGAAAATGGTTGTCTCCTTTTCGGGCTTGAATTGGATGGTGTTGTTCGGCCCGTGTGGGCCCACCACGGATCCCGTTTTGCTAATCGGAACCGGTCAATATGTAGAACTCGTCGAGTACTATATATTTGTAAAAAATCACGTTGATCAGATATCGATAGTTGTTTGAGCGTGTTAGTTTTTTGTCAATTATTCATCAAAAGTCAACAATTACGGCTGCACAACTCTCAATTCAAATTTTTCCCTACAAATCAATTTTTACAATTTTTTATTACACATTTTTCAATAAAAAGTCAAAAAGTTAACCCAAACATCCATATTTTCAACCTCAATTTTTTAGTCCAAAAAGACAAAAAGTGCACTTTTTTAGTCTTCCCAAACTTGGCCTAAATAAAAAATAATTCAGTGGACTATTTTTCTAATATCACATTCACCTCTTCCATCACAATCTCCCTTCCAAGGCCTATCCTAATTCCAATGGAAAAGAAGTTCCCTCTCTATTTTTCAAAACAAACATAATATATAGTGGGTCTCACCTCGCAATCAATCACAATTTTCTCTCTATAACCCCAAACAAACAGGGCCTAGTTGTGTTCTTGAACAAAAGCAATAGTGATAGTATAGGTAGAGCTGATGTAACCAGTTAGCCCTATCTCTTTCTTTTTTGCACGACTTTATTGATTAGAAACATCACATACACATATTTCGAGACTACAAAATAATTTTGGAGAATCTAAGGGCAAGTTTGGGAAGATCCAAAAAAGCCAAAAAGTCAAAAAGTTACTCAAAAAGCTAAAAAGTTAACACTATTCACCAAAAGTCAACAATTACGGCTGCACAACTCCCAATTCAAATTTTTCCCTACAAATCAATTTTTACAATTTTTTATTACACATTTTTCAATAAAAAGTTAAAAAGTTAACCCAAACATCCATATTTTCAACCTCAATTTTTTAGTCCAAAAAGACAAAAAGTGCACTTTTTTAGTCTTCCCAAACTTGGCC